GTGTTACTGCAATTGTGCTACATTACAAAATCACTTTTCTACTGTCAGCACAATCTGAAGGCCTTAATGTTATATGTGAGATCTGTTACATCGACTCTGGCACACAGTAAGTGGTCTGAGCTTTCCTGCTCAAATGTCATTTGTGCTGCACCAGGCTGTTCTTGAGGGCAAGATCAGCTCTCCGTGGAACTACAGCTTTTATGTTTCAGTAAATAAAGGAACTGGCAAGGAATAACAAGAACTGCTGTTTTCCTCAGCAAAAAAAGGAAAATGAAAATATGATTTCAGGCGAAAATATCGTATGAGTAACAGTTCAGGAGGTAAACTCTCTTTCCATGGCCAAGTAGTTCCTATTAATCCAACTCCAAAGTGCTACAGGTGCACCACAAGGAGAATGACTCATAGGTCCAGCATTTACACAGATGAAATTAGTAACAGTACATTACATTCAAGTCTCTTGATTTGCTTATTGCCATGCTGCACCATATTATTGCTTCATATTTTGTATCTTGAACAAGAGGTTGATGACTTTGGAGAGTTCAGAAATATCACAGAGGCTACTGACTAATACAAGAAACTGCACATGTTAAGGACAGGAAGTCAAAGACTAAACTCAGTCCTTTGTCACTGAGGCATTGCTGGAAACAAAAAATAGAAAAAACAAATACTGATTTCTCTAGATGAAATCTGCCATAGCACTGTAATAATGGAAGCATTCTAGGCATGTTCTAAACAAGAAGTTTAACTGTGCTAATTAATGAATGGCAAGATTTATTTCTCCTAGGAGGACATTAACAGTCTGGACAGTCAGACCAATCATAATAAAGATAACAAACTGGGAGGAGTAATCCAAGCTCTTCTTCACAACAGATAAAAATACAGGTGAATTCAAGGCACAGGTATTTTCAAAATTAACACACAGTATTTTCTTTGGAGCTAATCATACAAACTAAGCCCTAATTACACTATTAACAAGTTGTACACAGGGCCTTTATCAGAGAATGATCACAAAATAATTCACATACAGATGTGCACACAAAAACATACTAACATTGACTGGATCTCTACAGTAGGAAAAAAGGAATATTCCTACAAACAGCTTACAGTTCTTAGACAGTAATGTTTTCATGAACTTGTGTGTGACACAAAGGCAATGAGCAGGGAACAGTCACAGCTGGCTTGGGCCTGGTGGGAGGCTGCTGGTTACACAATCGTGTTCCACTTTAATTAATGCCATCAGAAGTAATTCCATACGCAGGAAACTTGTGTGCTAAACATATTTTACAAAACCCAAAGCACTGCTTGGCCCCCAACCAGATAGCAGGTTTCTGCTTAGCAATTTCATCTTACCCTCTAGGCTCCTTTTCTGAGTATATGGTGCTCAGATTTCCTTAACCAGGCACAACAAATCATTTCATTTGTAAATTCTTGTGTACATAAGATTACATTCAGATGAAAATATTGTGCCTCACACTGATCAAGTCTTGTGAGATTCTTAATGCTCTTGAATTGGGTTTTGCCCTCTTCAGTGGTAAAAAAGAGCCCCACAGCAACTTGCCTATTTGGGCAATTCAGAAAAATGAAGCCCTGGCTTTCCTGAGCATTGCCACTAGCACACCATTGGCATGTCTGCACCTTTACTGCTCCAGCTGAGTTCAGTGAATTGACAAATATGAACCATTTTTACCACCTGAGTTTCAGCATCTGGAGTTGCAAACTTAGGACACCCTGGTTTCAGCAAGCCCAGCCAAACTGAACCCCCAACCACGCTGGGTGTCCTCCTGCCACCTCTGAGCCTGCTCCAATGCTTCTCTCCTGTCCCTGCTCCCCAGGGCTGGCGTCAGCCCGGGCTCTGCTGAGCAGCACCCCCTGAGCCTCGGGCAGGGGGAAATGTGGAGTCACAGGCAGGGAGTGCTGCTTGTCCTGTCCGTGCAGCAAGGCAAACACAAACAGGACAAAGTGTCTGCCTGGGAGAATGAGGGGAACTCAGCTGTCTGAGGAAGAACTGAACAGGCAGCAGCATCCTTGCTCTCAAGCACAGGTGACCAAAGCTTCCTCCTCCTCCACCATCAGCCTCTCTCAAAACTTTGCCATGTTAACAATACTATTTAAAAAGCTTCACTAAATTATGATAAGGGTCCATATCAACATAATCTGCATGAACATCTCTGCTTTAACAGAGTACAAACAAAGCTACCTTTGATGAGAACTGCAGTGGTGCCAGTCAAAGGAAAAAAATAACAGTTCAGTCTGGACCCCTTGGTGCTGGAGGGGAAGCACAGTGCCCAATCCCCCAGACACACAGCATAAAATGGAAGAGATTCCACAGATTGTGCCTGCTGAACCACTCCCAAGGAAGGAGTCTACAGCTACAACTACCAGAGTAGCAGGCAATGTTCTGTGGCTGAGGGCTGTACAAGGGGAATGCTTCAGCCACAAGCCAAGGGCTACAGGCTGCACGTGCTGCACTGATCAGTAAGTAATTCAGAACCTTCCAGAAGCCTTGCTGCAAGAAAGCATCTTTTCAATTAACATCACACTGCTAAGAACAGAAGTGGACAACAAAATAGAGAAGAAAATATTTACTCATTTCTGTTTAGCAGAGTGAAGACAATTTTTAGAATTTATTTTTTAGGTGTGACTTGGAGACGTTTGAGCCCTTCAATGTATGGATGGACAGAAGTTACATCTTCGTGCAGGTGCTCTAGAGCTACTAGCATTTATGATGGAAATAATTTGATTATAGTTGATGACATTAATGATTTTCTATCCTAGCTGAGACAAAGGAAAAACTAAAACCAACTTGCTGCTCAAGCCCATAAACTGCAAGCATCTAGATATGCATAAGAGTGAGAGGTTAAATCTTTGAATCCATCTCTACCTAAGTGAAATGCATGGGAGAACAAGTGGCTCAGGAATGCAACTTCCAAATTAATGCATCTTTCTAGAAATATGGCACATTGTCATTAAATCAAGGTCAGATTGTTCTTTTCTAGTATATCTAACAATAACTGTTGTAAGAGAGAAGGCCATAAGTGCAAATTATTTACAGAGTAAACAAGCAAGAAGAAAAACTCACTGCCTGTTTTAAAGAAATCATTGCTTAGGTAACTGCCATTTAGCAGTGCTCCACACCTGTAACTGTTCAGCTTTGACACAGATTCTGAAGAACTGTAAGCAGAAGTTTTCTGCATCTACATTTCTGCATTTACTGTTTCATTAAACACTGTCATTTTCAAAAACAGGTAACAGTAACAGTACATAAATTGGTAAGAAAAGACAACTAAACGATAAAATTAGTCTTAAAAACCTTGGAAAGCAGTATCTTGTTATTTACAGAGTAGTGCAGTATTATAAACACAGATTAAATGACACTGTTCTATAGCTACAGAATGAGCACTGTTTAAAAACAGTAGAGCATGACAACATTACAAATCTGAATACAAACAAGAGGAAATCAAAGGAAAGGAGGATATTTTTCAAATTGCACCTGTAATGAAGTGCTCCTTCAGTCTTTGTCATTTTTATTTACAACAATGGCACAAGCTATATATGCTGTTAGCACATACAGTCAGTTACAGGGCAATTACCATTGCAATTAACACACCCTATCCACAGGGGCTGAAATTGCCATTTCCAAGTACAACTTGGTGAGCAAAACAGATGAAACTTAGAAAAGGATTAATTTATCTGATTCATTTGTCTTACATTATATCAATGGATTTTCTTTTTAGGGCAATGTGAATGCTCAGGGACTGGCCTCCAGATTACATCACTGATATGCAATGATTTGTATTTTATCAGTATTCTTACCGTATCAAAAGCAGTGTTTGGTATTCAGCCAGAAACTGGAATTTGTGTCCTTTCCTGAGGTTACAAGTTAATGCATCCCAAAGTGCAGCTCCCAGTGCTCTTTAAAACTCATGACCATGTTACTGAAAATGGTGACTCCCAGTTTGGCATAGCTTCACTGAGGGTCAGAATTTCCATCTCATGAAGAAATACTCTGGGAAAACAGATGAGGAAAGTCCAGTGGAACAAACAACGTTCCAGAGCTGGTGCTTGTTTTCACCCTCCTGAGCAAGCACAGAGACCAGAACCCCGAGGCCAGGGCTGGCTCTGCAGGGGTTTTATGGGGTTTTTCTGCCCTGGCACTGACCAATTTCCTTACTGGCTGCTGTCCTCAGAATTCCTTTGGAAGGCAGTTCCTGAGGTTTTTGGTGATTTACAGGAAATTGGTACACAGACAATCCTATTCATTTTCCATCTCCCAAGTGCTATTTCAGTTTTTATGAACTTTGTGCCTCAACTGTACAACTGTGTACTGGAAATAAGGAATCCTAGCACAGAAATCTAGGGAGGACTTAAAAAAAACACCTTTACTGAAAAATCCCCAACCCAGTAATGGTGGTGCATCAAAATACAGGTGCTTCCTAGGCTTCAGAATTACCCAAAACACATCACATGGCTACATGGACAGGTCCACAGACATTTTTCTGGTGAAAGGAGGAACCTTTCCAGAATTTCTTTATCTGTGGCCAAGCAGCTTATGCAGTAGTTTAACTGTGCTCCAGTAAGTGATTGTCTGAAGAAAGGCCAAGAAATACTTGCTGGATACTCTGCCATCTCTGCAGATGAGACATCCAAAAAACAATTTATAACCTGTAGGGCACAAACTCAAGTCCCCACCTCTATCACCAGGTAATTTATAACATGATTCAGAAAACTGTGAGAATGCAGAGTTCAACATCCCTTTATTTCCTAAATGGTTTAGACATTGCAGTGAGCAAAGAGTGAACCCAGTAACTCTCAGCCTTCACCCATACTATTCAAAAAGGTAAAAACTGTGATTCAAACTTTGCCTCACAGATGCATGTCTGAACCCACTGGTTTTCCATGTCATGTAGCCTTGTACTTCTCTGCTGGACATTTATGAGCACTATGAGTAAGTTCCACAGGGTTAATGTACACAAGCATCACAGCAGTTGTGTTGTAGCCAGTTTGTCCTTCAGAAGAAAGCATTTCTCAGAGATTCTCTTATTTGTCCAATGTAGCTTGTCTTGTTGGTGTTTTGGTTTTGCTTTGGCTTTTTGTGTTGTTGTTTTTGTTTGTTTTTTTTAATTTCAACCCATGCATGATGTGACAAAAAAAATCTAGTTGGTTTTAAGAATGATGCATATGAATTGTAATTGAGCTTTTTAAATTGCAGGTAATGATCCAGGATGACTCTTTGGGATTTACTTGCCTATGCATTTTTCCCATTAGCAGAACTGGAAACACCTTGAAGATATTGCTTTTAAAGACACAGGCACAGATGCTGAAGGCACTTTCCTCAAAAGCTTTCCAGGTTTTAATTACTAATGACACATAGGGCAAACTTGCTGACCACTGTCCTGCTCTCATATCAGAGCCCACAGCAGATATAACTGAACTCTGCTTACTGGATATGATTGTAGACTTGTTTGGTAAGTTAAATTAACCATTTTTCTAAAGGCACTGGATAGAATTTTCATATGACACTTAGGCAGGGAATTCCCACTTCAGGAATCTTTAAAAAGCCTGTGTTGCAGCAGACCACTGGATTCATTCTTCTTCTTTTTTCAAGAAAAGAGAAGTTACAGTTTAAAGCCTTTTTCATTATATCTATGAATGGTGACACAGCCATGATACGATACTGGCCTGGGCATGGCTGCTACTCCTGTGATAATGCCCGTGGCAGGGTCATAACAAAGAATAGTGTCTGTGGCTTCACCATTTTCCCGTCTTCCACCAAGGATATAGATTTTTCCATTACACACAGACATGCCACAATTCTCCTGTTGCAAGAAAACACAAGGGAACACAGGGTTATTTAAAAAGCAAGGCTTGATTTGTGTGTGTCTGCCCCCATGCAGGAGGGCAGCACTGTGACTGCCTTCTGTAAACAGCCTGGCCTACAATGTTCCCTCCTGAAAGGGCCAGTGCACAAAGCACAAAAATTAGGGAAAGCAGCAGCACAAGACTATTTCAGGTCCAAGCCTTTACTACATGGAGCTCACACAAAGGGAACAATGGAACACTGTACTTACCACTGAAAGATCTGAGATAGGGAAAGGAGGACAGAACAAAAGTTTTCAGAAGAGGGACCACTGTAGGTACTATTAATGCAAAGAATGGGAAAAAGGGAAGCACCTCAGAGGAGCAACAGATAATGAACAGGGATGCAAATGTGGAAAGGAAAAAAGGCATGACTAAAAACAGTGCACAAGAAAAGACAGTGCTATGTCTTACTTGAAACAGAGATAGGATTTTATTTCTTCCTCAAAAGCAGGCATGGAAAAAATACTCAGTTAAATAGAGAACACAGATTAAAACAGAGGAACAGAGGGAAGGCTGGGGAAAAAAGAACAAATTTCTCTTAGGTAATACCATAGAATATGTGATTGGTGTTTTTAAAACATGGGGAAATGTAACTGCTGCACACACACTTCACTACTGAGCAGACTTGTTCAAATCCTGCTCCGTGTCCCATGTGTGGAAATGAGAGAGCTCTGATTGCTCAGGTCAGACACTTTCTGTGCTACACAGTGGGACTTCTTCACACTGTAAAAACAGCCTTCAGTATTTCCTGTCACACTGAAAGGCTTTAATCAATTATAAGGAAATTACTCCCTTCTAAATGACAACATACAACAGAATGTAATGTCTATACATTGAAATCATCATCCAGCCTACTGTTCTCCAACAGCAGCAGCTCTCAAGCAAAGCCTGGACTGCCTAAGAGCCAGCTGAAGAGCTACTGGCTTAGAAACTTCCTCTTCTGTGATGTTTTGAGTTACACAGACGAAGAGGTAAAGCAAGAATGGAATCACAGATGTGATTCTATTAGGGTTAAGCAAATGTGTGCTTATTTAATGCCAAGATAACAATGTCAAAAAGCACCTTTCAGCTGTCTTTGGGTTTTTGATTGGTAGTTACCTGTCTGCTGAATGTATTCTGTACATGCATCCAGTAGTCCTCAATGGGGTCATAGCAGTAAATGGCTTTGGTGAGCCCTCCAGCCACGTAGATCAGGTTGTTGAGGGACACGGCCGTGATACATCGCTTGGCAATGGGGATGGTGGCACGGAGCAACCAGGAATTGGTATCAGGATCATAAGACTGAACCTGGAAACAGGAACAGGCCTTTCAGACTGAGAGCCCAGCTGAAGGAACAGCCTGGCATGCCCATACAGGTCACACAGGTAGAGACAAGGCAGCAGTGCCTTCCCAAACTCCATGTATCAATAATTTATACATACGAGCAATATTTGACATTGTCTTCCAAACACTCCCACTTAAGAATTCACAGAACTTGTGAAGCCAATGAGAAAGACCACAGTAACAGTGTATTGCTCAATCAGCATTTTCTACTCTGTATATTTTCTATTAGAATAACTCCACACTCCATCCAGCACAAAACAGCTCAAGCAGATCTCCTGCAGGACCTGGCTTTAATCCAGTTTGCTGTGGATAGAAGATGCAACCCAAGAGAGCCAACTGACCTTGTCAGAACAGGTGTTGTCATCAGGGCCACCCCCGATGACAAAGAGCTTGCCCACACAGCTGGTGACAGCTGGGGAGCTCACAGCCTCCTTCAGGGGAGCCACCTCCGTCCAGCGGTTGGAGAAGGAGTCGTAGCACTCCACGCTGCTCAGGCGGTTCTGCCCATCGTATCCTCCCACCACGTACACCTGCACACAGGGTGACAACACATCAGCTTGTGTTTGCAGCAGCTATTGCACTGAAATATCACACTGAATGAATCTAAAGCTGATCTGCTGGCTTTGTCAAGGGACACATTGCTCACATTTTTATTTATACACAGGAGGAGGAGAAGAATATGGTCTGAAAATAACAGGTAAAGACTCCCTGGAGAGTTCCATTCAGTCACATGTGGAATGACACTGCAAACACATGCCAAAGCACAGTATTATTAATACTGCAGTAGAAACTTCTTCTTTGAATAGCATTTGTTAGAAAAGGCATTCCTCTGTATTTCTCTTTTTTTAGATAACATTCAACAACAGCAGCAAACACCCATCTGAGTTTACCTTTGCATTTCTGGCATTTTGCTTTTTCCCTACTTGCTTACTGAAGTATTTCTTCCTCTCAGTTTGTAAATTCTACTTTCTTGTCTCTTCTTTCATATTTAGGAAGCAGAGCTCCTCATTATTTGTGATTACCTTCTTCCCTCTGCTTGCTTAGCTGCACGTTTCATCTCTAAGAAGACCAAGTGACACCACATGCACATCTTGTCTAACTTTCAGTAAGGGAGCCCCAACTAGTGGTTTTATTGTCAGGCATATTTGCCTCCAAAATATAGCAAAACCTCCCATTTCCACATGACTTGTGTTTGCTTAATTTCAATAGAAACCATTAAATAAAATTGCTGACATTCAGAGCACTATCAGTTTCTGCTAATAACAATATAAATGTAAGACAGCATTTTGAAGCACAGGCAAATCCAGATGCCCAGATGCTTCTCTGCTTCCCAAAAAACTGCTTCTTTGAAATAAGCCACTTCAGTGATGAAAAAACAAAACCCCAAAAAATAGATGAGCAGAAAGATGATTGTCATGTCCATGTGTAGTGTCTGACTGATGAAGAGCCTAATTGTTTGAAATATTTTACTTGAAGATATAAAAATATTTTTTAAATTATTAGATACGAAATACAAAGAAATACTTAAGTATTTTCTCATCTGTTTCCTTATATACAGCAAACATTGCCACTATAAAAAATTAAGATATACTTCTCTTACTTTACCCAGAAGAACAGCCATTTTGTGTCTCCATCTGCCTTTATTTAAGGAAGCAACTCTGATCCAAATGTTAAGTTGAGAGTTATAAATCCAGACATCCCGGCTATTGATTCTTCCACCTTCAAAATGAAACATATGCCAAATATTGAATGGATAATGCTAACTATTAACATGCCTCTCCTAGAGTGGGCAGTGAAAACTTTACATCCCCTTTTGGCATGTAATAGGAATCTACCAGTATTTATACATTAGACTGAATAAGTAATTTGCAGTGGATTTCAAAGATAAAATCACACAGTAAGTTGCTTTCCTCACACTTTCCCATAATGCTGAGATCACACCAGATTATTCCCTGAAGTTGGAATGCATTTTAATGGTTTCTGCCCAAGCCCTTCATATTTCCTGTAGTGCTGAGACCTGGATGAGACCCCCAGAAATTCCCTGCCTGTGGCACATCCCTCCCAACCCCTCCTCTGCTCTGTGAGCATCTCCCTGGCTCCTCACTCTGTTCCAATGGCACAGGCACACACACCTGAGGAGAAATTGCTTTGGCTAAACCAACACACACAGCCTGCTGGCTGAACCACCAGCTGCACCTGTAATTTCCCCTTGCTAAAGGTCTGAATGTGCTGCTGGGAGAAGCCTGCTTGGGATTTTTTATCTGTAGTTTTCCCAGCTGCTGCTGCACACAGGCTCCTGCTGTATTTCAAAGCCTTTAGCTGGTCTCTTTAAACACAATTGATGTCCTGGAATCAGCTGTAAAAAACTGCAGATTCATGCCAAACAAGAACTCCAGAAAACACTTTTGTTTACAGTAAGATTGTGCTGGGGCTGGTGCTCACAGCAGCAAGTGACTTTCAGCTGAGCTTCTGGAAGTTCACAGTACAAAGATCTGCCACACTACTTAAAAAGCAAACCAAAACAAGCACACCCCACCAACAGGACACAAGGAAAACCAACCAAACAAAGAAAGAACCCTTGAATAGTTTAGGGTTATTCACCTGAAACAAGGATATCATTCCGCAGAGCGCACACCGCATACTCAGACTTGGTAAACTCTGGAAGTTTGGCCAGTGACTTCCACTCTCCTGTCACAGGATCATAGCACTCTGTGTAGGGCAAATTAAAGCCTCCAACTCGTTCACAGCCTCCAACCACAACTATCACCTCAGAATAACCAGTTGATCTAAAAAAGTGAACACAGAAAATTAAGATGTAGGGGATATTTATTAGTACATGGAGGCCAAACAACATTGTCTTCAAAACTCGTTGAAAATCAGAAAAAATACTATTTAGCTTTAATTTCATAACAACAATGAAAAAAGAAAATGGAAGAAAGGTTTTCACTGTTTCTAGCTGTCTCATTACACAGCAGGTTACCACACTGACAGGAGTCCTGTGTAAGTGCTGGAGCTGCACTGCACAATGTTCTGTGTAAAAACCATGTCATTAAATAACATAGAAAACTCTTACTATAATAATATTTTTCCTTTCACTGTACATGTAGATCAGAAACAGAGTTCAAGCCAGGCCAGAGATAATGAGATGAACAATCTATTCCACAATGAAAACAGTCTTCAATCCCCCTCCTGAGCTTTACAAAAGTAATAATACTTTACAGCACCTAAATTTCCAAGTGTTTAAAAGCAGAAGGAGTGTAGTCACTAAAATGAGGAAAACCAAAAAACCTTAGAGCCAGTGCACAGTAAAACAGAAAACAGCAGTGACAGGAGGAAACATTAAGGAACACTGAAAGAAAAATTCAAACCTAAAACCAAAAACTACAATTCAGCAGGAATAAATCAGGCATTAGACAGACTGCAATGTACCCATACAGACTTAGTTAAGTTCTATTCCACACACACTGATTATTGTTCTACTAACCAGATGCTTCTGCACTATATTCACAACAGCAACAGCACTTAACTAACAAAACTTAATGCACATTTGAATGTAGGGAATCAACCAACTATGTTTAATGTGCAAATCAAACTGTGACCACCTTTATTCCCCCTCTCAGATTTTTGATTTCTTGTCAGCATTTGTCAAACTTTCTTTCCAGAGCATTTTAAAATTAAAGCCCTTTGCACTGACACAGTTATTTCAAGGACTGCTGTCAGTTAAGCAAAACTGAATGTAAGATTGATTTATTTTCTGATGAGCCTTTTTGTTGTGTTGTGCTTTGTACTGTGATCCCACTGTGAACAGGTATCTCATAGAGCAGACATTCATGCCATTGCTGAGTACCACAGTCTTCTCTCAAAAGTAAAGATTTATGACTGGATTTGAGGTAAAAGTTACACAATCTGTCCCTCAAGTTCCCAACATAAACTTATGCACATATTCACCTATAAATCCTGATGAGGCTTTCCCTGTGTTGAGACACCATGAATAAAACTCGTGAGCCCTTCTATTTCCTTGTCACCACACACCAAATTGAAATATTCCATACGTGTTTTTACCCAGAATACAGTAAACAGGCAAAGGCAATGCTAAATGCTGACATCCTACAGGATGGGAACAATGAGATGTGTCTGAGGAATGGCACTTACACACCTGAACTTGCCAGAAGAAACTTTTGCCAGCTGCCCAGCTTTGCAGTCATGCTCCCTCCTGGTTTCTATGCATTTACTGTTTACTGGTTTTTGCTTTTTTGAGGAACAACTCTAAAAAGAATCTCTCAAAGGGTAAGAGAGGAGAACTTCCTGTGCCAACAAAGCAGTACCCAGGAAAAGAACTTCCCTAAAAGCAAGACACTCATAATTTGCCTTAGAAGCAAGCCCAAAGACACCAGCTAATTGTGTACAGAGGTTTGCCTGTGCATTACTTTCTAGATTAGAATTGAGGCCTCCATTCACTCACTGAAAGGATGTCTGTGACAGATCATCAATCCTTGGTTTAAAACTAAATGAACCAAACAACTTTGCTCAGAGAGAGCTTTTTATGAAATGGGGTTTTTCAAGAAAATATTCATTTAGCACAGTATTTCAAATCCAAAGAGAACAAAAAAGTTTTCCTAACATCTTAGTACCTATATGACCAGATTCTTTCTTCAGGTAAGAGAAATTTTCTCCATTGTATTTTCTTGAACGAGTCTCGCTCTGTGCAGGTTTTAGGGTTAGTTCAAAATTTTTGTTTTCAAATGACAGAGTGCACACCCACTTTAAAAAAAGTAAAATGTGGTAGGAATACACAAAAAGAATATCCAGGCAAAGGCCAATTCCAGAAAGGAACTAAGGCTATATTTACATGGAAGTTAGAAAAAGCTGTGACCTCAACCAGCAGTACAGGAAGCCCTTCTTGTAGCCCTCAGAAGAAACAGTGTGAGCAAAGTAACACAGTTTAAAACGGGCTGTAACCATTGAGGAGACAGCATCCCACCAAGAACAGGGGCATTAAACAGAAGTGAAGAAGTGGAAGACAAGCAACAGTGCCACACAATTGCATGCATTCCCAAGGACAGGCTTTTCGAGGGTCCTGAGCTCCACACACACCTCTTGAGGTGAAAACACGACCAGCACAGCATGAGCTGGACAGCAGAACTTGGGGTAGCTCAAACAGATCACATTCAAAACCATGGTAAGTTCAGGAAACAAATTATAGAAATTCAAACCAACTACAGAAATTCTGGTAAATCATTACTTTTTTCTTCCTCGCTGTTTAAATTAATTTTGGGTAGTAAATGAGGTAGCAGAGAAAATGCAAAGTGAAATAGAATCCCATTTCCAAGTGGGAAAAAGAAGGAACACCATTAAAGCTTTCCAAAGGCAACCAAAAAGGACCCATTAAATTGTGTAAACATCCTAATTTCTGGTTGAGAGCACACTCAGGTACAGGTACCAGCCAGCCCAACAGCAGCTTTGATGACAGCCTGAAGATAACCCAAAGCACACACAGTTTGGGGTACGGGAGTGTGTCACTGCTCACTGCCTGCCCTCAGCCTGCAGATCTGGCGTGTAACAGCAGGAGGGACAGGACAGGCTGGGGGAGCAGGAGGGACAGCCTCAAGATGTCACTGTTGCAAGTCCATAACTGAAAGGCTGTCTCAGAAAGACCTGCATGTGCCAAGGATGCCTTAGCCTTAGTGGCAAAGACAACAGTTATGCCACACTTGAAACTTTTATTTAACTCTTAAATTGCCAGGTAACTCTTCACTGGCTTCAAAAAGAAAATACAAACCAACCTGAATTGCAATGTAGTCTGTTCTTTGAAAAAACATGTAGAACACATTTCACCCACGGGTGCATCAACATCCATACAAGTGATCATAATTTATATCCCAAAGCTTCACTAAAAGCACTGGGGTGGGAAGTTTTTATCCTGTAGCCTGTCTCCTTTTAGAAACAGTTTATATAGAAAAGATACTGGAGGAAGGCAAGAAAAAAGGAAAAGAGCTCTCCATTGCCCCCCAAAATGCCCAGAAAAGGTTGATAAAAACATGGGGGAAGGGGGACCTGGCAACCGTTTCAAAATATGATCCCTTTTTGCTACAGGCAACGGAAACAAACAGACAACAGAAACAAATGACAAAGAACTATTCCATGAATGTAATATAGAAAAGGGGAAAAAATTCCTGCTGGGATGCCAGCCAGTTTTTCTCTTTGTAAATTACTTCTCTTGTTCCTCCCTACTCAAACTCCCACTGCAGCTTAATAAACTCAGCAGTAAAACCAACAAACCCCCCAGCTTCAGAAATCACCTGTATTAGGCAAGGTACTTCATCAGTCCCACTCTGGGTTATTCAGAATTTCAAGCACATACATCCCCCACACTGACAGAACTCCTGAGTGTATTTGCCTTCCTCAGCCAAGTGAGTAGAAAAGCAGAACAAACACCAAAGCAAACAAACACTGCAGCCCGCAGCCCCCTCCAGCTGTGTGAGTTCCCCTGGTCCCTCACTCCAGCCCAGGACCAAGCACTGCAGCAATTCCCATGCTAGGACCTCCCATGGCAGAGCACAGCCCAGAAAGCCTGGGGGGGAGCAGGGCTCAGGGACTTCAGGATGAATTTCTGCTCTCATGGCAGGACTGAGGGCTGGAAAGCCACTAATGGGGCAAACACTGCCAAGTGGTTTATTTTTCCCCTTAAGCAACCTTTAACACCTGCCAAAAAAATAAAGGTTCCCTGCAGAGTCACTGTAGAGCAACCACATATGAGTAAGAGTAAACAAAGAGCAGTAACTCCTAACACAATCTGTCTAGACCATCATTGCATCACCTTAATGTAACATACAGTTTTATTAAAAACTGCTCAAATCAGCCGGACTTAACCATGAACTATCATCTCTACTATCGCTGACATGAGGCAGGGAAAATATTTTTCAGGAAAAAAATCATAATAGCCATTGCTCATAAATGCCACTAATGGGTTCTTCCTCATTTCTTCTTGCAACCTCAGTCACCTATTTGTGTAACACATTATTAAGCAGCAGCAATTGTGAATTATTAAAATGTCACTGAATGAGCACAAAATACTTCAGGAACTGTTTCATGAGTCTTTAAAAATACAATATTTGGTTTATTTACAGTTAACAACCTGTTGCTCTGCTGTCTATTACAAATACATGTGCTACTCCATCTGTAAAATATTTGTGATGTAGCAAGGAAATGCTCTGAAAACATAATACCCCATCCACATCCTTTGTGGTGAACTGTACGTTTACATGACTTTGTTACAAAAAGAAAGCTGGGGAAATGGAGTGGTTTTCCTGCCACAGCACAGTAAGCTCTCTTCAAGACACTGCTACTGTAAGAAGTAACTGAAGATCTCCCCTAGCAAACATTAACCTTAAGAAAGTATTTTACTTGCAAGGTAATGTAACTTCACTTACCTTTTTTCAGAGCAATAAAGTGCTCTGTGTAAAAAGCCCCATTTATGCACATTCTCAGACATGTGAGCTTCATGCATGTGGGGAAGTACAAAAGTGTAACTGCAGCAGCTCCAGAGTTTAGCAAAATAAAATAATCTGCAAGAGACTTTTCTCCAGGCATGCATCTATCAAACATCAGTACATCAAATTATGTCCTTCTGCAGAAAAAAGGGTTAAAAGAATTCCCTTACCTGCGTGGCCTAGTTCTGGGAGACATCATCTCGTTTCCAAGGATGTGGTACCTCCTGGCTTCGTGCAGCAGCTGATAGCACTCTGGGGAATTCTGAATCAGCTGGTCCACTTCCACAGTCTGAACAAAGTAGTTGGGGTGCAGCAGCGGGAGCCTGACGTGTGTCAGCAGCTCGTGGAGCACGGGCCGGCGCAGCTCCACGGCGCGGTACACCCAGCGCATGACGGCCTCGAACACCAGCTCCTCCTTGCTGATCACCAGCTCGTCGCTGCAGATGTAATCGATCAGCTCGTCCTTGCCCAGCTCCAGGAACTCCTCGTGCTGGGACACGTCCTCGAAGGTCTGCAGCGCGAAGTTGCGGCACTTGGTGAAGAGCGTTTTGAGCGAGTGCGTGTCGGCGAAGCGCTGGATGCCCAGGCAGTTGCAGGGATCCAGCTGCTCCTCCAGGAACTTGGCGCAGGCGTCGCGCAGGACGCTGATCTGGAACAGGCTCGACGTTTCGAACAGGTACTGCACGTTCTCCGTGGTGATCTTCACCTTGCCCGTGTACACGTACTGCAGGAAGCAGTCCATGGCTTCGGCGAAGATGCCGTTGATCTCCACCAGCATCTCCCTGCTCTCCCTGTGGTCGTTGCAGAACATGGCTCTGAAGTAGCTGCTGCAGGCCGAGAGCACGGCGCGGTGGCACGGGAACTCGCGGCCCTCCACGCAGATGATGACGTCCGTGAACAGGCGGCTGTCGCGGAATTCATTGAAGATCTGGAGAATGCTCTCTGCGTGGGACGATCCCGAGGAGAAGTCGAAAAACTCAGGGCCTGACAAGGACTTTGGGTCCATTTCAAAGACTTTCCGCTTGGTTGCAGGGGAATCTCGTATCCCGCTCTCCTCTCTGTTCAGTCTGCGTCCCAATATTAGTACCATTGTTACATCAGTTGGCTATAGAGTCATTGAGAAAAACTTGCAGAGCTTCTCCTTCTCGGTGCAACGGTCTGAAAAATTAAAACACCTCAGTGTTCAGTCTGACACACTCTTAGCTGCATCACAGGAATTAGACACGATACTTGTTTGCTCACTCTAAGAACTGGTGACCTTTCTTGGAGGTGGCACAGGGCAAATTAGTGTGCACCTTGCCCAGGGCAGTGCAGCACTGCCAGGTGTTAAATGCAGAACATACCCAGAAAAGAGATGTCTGGGACATTGTGGGCAATTTCTGACTGTCCCAGAATGGCTGGTACTGCATTGCTGTGCAAGATAAAAATCTCAAGTTCTCAGCTCCAGCAGATCACCAGGCTAACAGAAGCCAAAAATGTCCTGAATAATGATCAAGAGCTTCAACTTTTCCCCTTCCCAGTGTGATCCTCATTTCAGTTGGAGCCTCCAAAGTACTAATATAACAGCACTAGTCAAAAAGGGGGTGGGGGGAAGACTGAAATTTTAAAAGTAAAAATTTAATTGAGTAACCACTCATTTTCATTATAAAGTCTATCATAATGAAGTCTTGTAACACTAGAGCTAAATAACAACCTCTGATCTCGACAAGTAACCTTGGCCATAAGTTTTTCCCTGCTCACTCCTAACATCTAAAAATTAGTTCACTGATAATCTATGACTTGATTAAAAATTATTGTAAACTGCTGGCACACAAAACAGAATGAAAGATGAACTACATTTTTTGTGTAAAATTACTGGAAACATGAACAAAGGGCAACTTGCTGAGTACAGCAACATTTTGTGTTTCCAAAGCACTACTGGCAAAGAATTATTAGCAGAAGTTTTTCCTTGAACACCTTCCAGTTTCAAGTACAAGTGCAAAGGTTCCTCCCAGCATGCAAACACACACTCACGTTATCAGAGCATTGAAGTTGCAGAAATCAAATACTCAAACGTTAGCATGTGCCAATATTAAAGTGTGTAGGTGAAGAAAATGCAGCTGATTTTGCAAACAATGCACGTAAGAGTTAGTGAGAGCAATCAATCTACCACAACTGGGCTTTTTTGCCTCTCCTGACCTTAAAAATGACCTGGAGGAATGTACACCAGGACATACTGAGGTAGCAAAAGGCTGGCAAAGCACCCTCTTGGGCCCAGCATTGGCACAATTCCAAATGCTTGTAATATTTATTTGTACATCCACAAGGCCACAAACTGAATTATTTTTAAGTTCATGGAAATTTTTTTCATGCCTCCCAAGATTTTATTCAGTTTCCCTGAATCCACAGTCAGGAAACACCAACTCCTCACAGCAACTTCATTTCCTGAGGAGCTCCCATCCTCAGAGCGGCAATTACCCAGTCCCAGACTGGCCACGTCACCACTTAATATAGAACACAATGAATGTGCTTTTTTTAAACAGTCTTTTTACACAGCACCTTTAAAAGGCACCATCTGAGCAAACAGCAAGGAAAGAATGCAGGCTGTCCCTTCACTCATTGAGAAAAGAGGCTCTAAAACTATCCCGTTCCCAGTAAAATTTTTTACACAAATTTACAAGGTAGATTCTTGGTCTGGGGCTCATTTACCCTACAAAATATTAGTTTTAATTTGACTTAAAATAGGACCAGTTGTCACACTGATGCCTGAAAAACGCTGTTGCAATGAGCCTATCTAATAACTGATTGCTTCAGAGGGACTAATGAGGCACAAATGGACAATCTGATCTGTAGCTGACATTCTATCCCACGGATTGCACAAACACCTCACCCTGGAACGACACTGCCGATACAAAACAACAACACCAACCACCCCCAGCTGCCAAAATCCTGCACTGAACTTCAGCTGTAACTAACCAGGTACTACTCACATGAGGAAGTGGGCAGACACAAAGCACCAAAGGGAAATATAACAATGCAAATATAAATATAAACACAAAAGGCTCAATTCCAGCATCACAGATTTAAATCAGATGAATTTCACAAAAGCTAATGGACCTTTTCCAAAGACAGCCTGAAATGAAAAGCAAGACCCTAATGTTGCATGAGAGGGCAAAACACAGCAACTAAGTAAAAATCCTTCAAGATGATATCTTTCTCATTATGTGAGAAGTTAAGACAGTGCTGTATTATGCAATCATTAATAACCAGAAACAAGGGCTCTGGGCTACAACTGCTCACTGAAGGAAGCAATGTCTTCTTTATGCTTGGAACATCACAAAATTAGTGGTCAGCAAACGATTTTTATTTTTAATGTCCTCATGGTTAAATGAAATGGGAGAATGAAAAAAAAAATCCAGAGTAAAAACTACTCAAGGGGATAAATATTTTAAATTCACAAATAAGATACTAAAAAGGAGAAAGAAGACCACGTCAGTGCAGAACGTACTGTTTTTAAATGTACTTTCCTTCAATTTCTGCCCAGTTAATTACTTCTGCAGGTTTGCTTCAGCAAAACAATTTCACAAGCCTATCAGTAACAGTGTCACATGCTCAGCTCTATCACATTTACATGTTACCTTCCTGCAAATCTTGCTCTAGCAGTTTTGAAATGTCACCTTCCAGGGGCCAAAGTGGGAAAGGCAGAAGGGAACCTGTGCCTGAGGCTGAGCTGGATATCTGCAAAGGGGGGAAACACAGCAGGACAGACCTGTCTGCACCTCTCCTGGATGCAGAGGTACATATATGCCTTATCTGCCTACAGACCCTGCACTGTAAAACACCAGTCATTCACAGAATTTAACACTCAGATCTCTTCAGTAAGTTTAAACAAAACAAAAGAAAAATACAGGCTTTTTCCCCAAAGACAAGTCCTGGGAATTATTTGATCAAAAATCAAAAAATAATACAAAATCCACTGGATTGCTTGTGTGAGCAAGGGTCAAGAAGGATCTTAAGCATTCAGTCTAGTTTGAAAAACTAGAAAAGAAAAACAAATCACACATACAACCAACAGGTTTTACAAACTATTTCCAAACACAGACATGGCTCTGACATGGATGTTACCTCACACACACGTATTTCTGAGCTATGCTGGGTTCACCACGAATTCAGGTTCCTCTATTTCCTTCACCTACCCCATCTGTAAGCTTGTGTACACAAGCTGCTCCTCAGAAATACCCTACAGGCCCAATTCACAGGCTGCCAGAAGAACTCTGTGACACGTTCACCCTGACACCTTCTATCAGTGAATCCCCTTACATAAAATACTGTTATGCTGCACTGAACTCCTCCTTCCCCTCCTGCAGCCCCCGGTGTGCGTTTCCCCTCTTCCCTCACCCTCAGCAGTGCCAGCAGCCGGGTTCCCGTGTGTCCCGGAGCTCCGGGCCAGGCCCTCCAGCGACACCCTGTCTCCAGGTGTGCCCGAGCGCCGGAGCCCGCCCTCGGGGTGAGCTTCGAGTACCTGAGGCTGCGCTGGGCTCCTGCAGCTGCCAGGGAGGCGATGTCCAGCCCTCGTCCGCCGCTGCCAGCACCTGGGGATGCCGGAGCGCTGACCGCCTGTGAGGGGAGAGAGGGAGGCGCTGCAAGGGCCGAGCCGGCAGCACCGGACGGTGCCGGGTGCCGCCACCGTGAGCACAGCACCCCGAACATAACCCGAGCACCCCCCAGAACCGAAACCCAGCACGGGAACGGTGTTTTCGTGCCAGGCCTGGGAACTGCAGCTCAGGTTGGTTTTGTGATGGGAGATAAGGCGGTGGCGACGCCTCAGGTGCGCGGTTACCGAGAGGCAGCGGACAACTCCCAGGAGGCTGGGAGAACGAACCCCGAGGGACAGGGGGGGAACAGACCCTGAGAGGCCGGGAGAACGAACCCCCAGAGGCCGGGAGAACAGACCCCCAGAGGCCGGGGAGAACGAACCCCGAGGGACAGCGAGAACAGACCCTGAGAAGCCGGGGGGGAACAGACCCCCGAGAAGCAGGGGAGAACAGATCCCGAGGGGCAGAGGGAACAGACCCCGAGAAGCCGGGGGGGAACAGACCCCCGAGAGGCAGAGAACAGACCCCGAGGGGCTGGGGAGATCAGACCCCCAGAGACAGAGGGAACAAATCCCCCCGCAGCCCTGGGCGGAACCACCGCACGTGCTCTTCTTGTTTGGAAAGGAAGAGGGCGTGGGGAAAAAAGAGCGTAACCTTTCCCTCTGACAAGAAAAGAAAACAACAAACGCAATATTTCGCCTTCCTTCATCTTTCTTTGCGGAGTGAAAAAGACCAAAAATGTTGTTGGTTTTAAAGAATTTTTTAAAATAAAAATTCTTGTTTTACAAGGGATACTGAGGATTGGAATGTCTAAGATGAAGTCTTTAAGAATACTGATTAACTAGTAAACAAGAATTGACTGTGATCGAACTGATTAACATAAGAGCTCAACTGAAGAAATTTTTTATTCTAATGCAGGAGACTATCTTGATTTCTAAAAAAGAAAGAATGTCAAAATTCAACAGCAATCCAATCTAGTGACACACACACACACAAAAGCCTTAAGTGGCCTCAAAAGTCACCCAGTAAAAAACAGGAACTGATTTGGACATGAGAGTCACGATTATTAAGTAGAACAAAACAAAAACAAGCATTGAAAAGGGACACCTTGAAACTGCAGAACCCTTTATGTACCGTTTTGTAAAGGAAAAGGTCCTTCAGAGGGAAAAAAACCAACTTAAATGGGGAAAAAAGTACGGAAAAAGCACGGAAAAAGCACACTGCGTAGTATTATTCATGTCTGGGTAAGAAACAGTGAAAAAGTTCCAACCCTTCCCCTTTGGCTTCGCTGTCGTTCTTGCACGTGATTCAGATGTCGCTGAACCAAACCCGACCCCGAGCCCCGGCCACAGTGTTCCCAGGGCTCCGGGGTTCAGCCAGATGCCAGCACACCCGACAGGGGCAGCGGCCGCCGGGCTGGAGCACGGCCCGGCTGCCCAAGCGACCGGGAGCGCGGCGGGGAAAGCCGCAGAACGGACCCGCCCGCGCCCAGCCGCGGCAGGGCCGGGCAGGGAGCCCGCGGGAGCCGCTGCCGCAGGGAACAGCGCGGCACCGAAACCGAGCCCAGGCCCGGGAAGCGCGGCCGGAGGCGGCGGCACAAAATGGCTCCTCCCGGCCCGCCCTCCAGCTCACCTTCACCCCGGGCCCCGCCGCGGCCCCCCCGCGCCCCGGCCAATCCACGCCCGCGGCCCCGCCCCCGCCCGCCCGCGCGGCCAATCCGCGCCCGCGGGGGGCTCGGGGGGCTCGCGAGGACCCGCGGCACGGAGCGGCCACGGGGGCTCCGCGCGCCCCCCGCCCGCTCTGCCCGCCAGGCCGGGAGCGCAGCGCCCGCCAGCACCGCCGGGGGATCAACAATAACAACAACAACAATAACAACAACAGCAGCAGCAGCACCGCACACCGCAGGGCACGCACCGCCGCGGGCCCCGGGCTCCGCCGCTGCCCACAGCCCTACCCCAACGTGGCACCGCCGCCGCGCGCTGCCAGCAGAGTCCCGGCCGCGCTGTCCCCTCCGCGGCAACTAACGGTGCCGGCCTACCCCGCGCCCCGGCTGTCCCGCAGTGCTCTCCGCGCCTTTCGCGGGGGTTGCCGGCCCGCCGTGCGGCACCGCACCCTCGCCCCCAGAGCCGGGAGCGCGCCCTGCCGCCCCGCACTCACAGCCGGGAGCGCGCCCTGCCGCGCTGCGCCCCGCGGGAGCCGCCGCCGCCGGGGCCGGGTCGGGGTCGGTCGGGCCGGGCGGTGGGCGCGGAGCAGAGCGGTGCGATCCGGAGCGGTGCGATCCGGAGCGGTGCAGCGCGCTCGGGCCTCTCCGCCGCCGGTCGCGCTGCCAGCGCCGCTCAAAACAAAGGGGCTGGCGGGGCATGTGACCTCCGAGGCACCGCACATGATGTCACCGCTCCGCGCGGCCCTGGGAGCTGTAGTTCTGCCGCCCCGCCCGGACACGGCCCCGCTGCCCGCCGGCCCTCAGCGCCCCGCGAGCAGCCGGGACAAACGGCGGGGACGGGAGAGCCATGGGTGGCAGCAGCAGCGATGGGCGGCAGCAGCTGCCGTCGCTGCGAGCTCTTGCCATCGCCGTCCCTTTGCGGGGCAGGGGGAGCACACCCCACGTACCCCCCCCACAAATACACCCGACCCACCTCACCCTGTGAGCAGGCAAAAGCTTCAGGTGCACCGAAGCAAGCGGTGGCATCGGAAGGGCACCTTCCAGCGGGACAGTCCCTTGTGCCGGCTCTGGGGAGCCCTACCGAAGCTCCCCAGCAAGAGCCGGCTCCCAGACTGAAAACAACACCCTGTCTTGGGGTGGGTGTTCAGCCTCCATGACCACAACAAAAATCATTACATGAAAAAAATTAACCAAGATAGAATCTTTGTCTACCTGAGCTACGGCTCCACCCAATTAATTCAGAATTTCCAGTTCCTCTTCAACAGTAACACAAAACAGTGTGTTCTGTCCCTGCTGACCACGGAAAGCCAAGGTCATCTTTAAGCCGGGACATTAAAAGAGAGCTCTGCTGTCACAGCTGGGGGTCCCAGTGGTGGCAGCCAGTCAACTGCAAATATAAAAGCAGGACCCTGGTGTCATCGCCCTGCAATTTCATGAGCAGGTCTGAGCCTGTCCTGGAGCCCAAATTCACTTCATATCCGAAGTATTTGGACACTGGCCCATGCTCCAACACAGGCTGATGGAACATGCCTGGGAGTATGGAAATTTATTTTTGTTCTGCCCTTTAGCATAAGCAAACTCGCGAGCCCATAATGCAGAGCAGCGAGGCGAGGGCAGGGACGTGCATGCTTAAATTAAGATCATTACCTGCTACTAAACGAGGCCTTATGCAACGCCGTGCAGCTGATGTGGGCAGGTAACTGGCTCTGCTCTCCTTCCTAGAAGGATGACCTCCCCCTCTGGCCCCTTACTGCCACGGGAAAGGAAAAAATACAAGTTATTCCATTAGCTCCCCCTACTTTGCTGTCCCAAATGTTGGCTATCAGTCCCAGGCGTTACAGATCTTTACCTTTGGGTGAACCCCCGCCGCGTTCCGAGCCCAGGATGTTCCCAGGACACGCACCCAGCCGTGTGCTCCTGGCAGCAGCCGCTGTGCTCTGCCACTGAAACCTGAAGAGGAGCAGAGTATGGTCAGGGCTCCAGGACTGACCCCCCCCCCAGAGCAAAGCAGGCTCAGATTTTCATAGGCTAAACAAGCTCTGATTTCTCCTGGGGTCAGGTAAATTGCAGCTTTGCAAAACAGTTTGAATTATTAATTAAAATTTAAAAGGCTGAGTTCTGAAAATAAACTGAAAATGTCAATTGATTTCAGTATGTGAATGGCTTTCACACAGATCTTAAACAATTGAAGCCTTCAACTATTTTCCTGCAGAGCTAAAACTCAGAACTGCTTGACTTCGTTAGAAGTGAGAGCCTTCAGTCCATTTCTCATCCTCTGCCTGGAAAAGCAAGAAGGACCCCAAACAACAAAAACAGCAAAGAGAAAATCAGCAGCAAGTTCACCGCATAGAATACAGGTCTGTTGCAGTAATGTGTTTCACCCACTGATTGTAGGAAATATTAACAACCTGAACTCTTGCTTGTTACAAAGACATTAAACCTAAAAGTATATGACCTTAGAAAATGTTTTGCTTAAAATAGATTTCTTATCCTTTATATCCTCTTGTCTGCCCCAGTTCTTTGAGTCTGTAACTCTTGGGGTCAATATGAGTATGTAGAGTTCACTTGAGAAAACATAACTGGGATTAAAGGAATGAGTCAGAGGAAGGAAAAAATCAAAACAGGATCAAGATACCTCTGCACTGGCTGGAAGCAGCTATTCTGAAGGGACTATATTTACTCCAATAAAAACTGCACGTGGCAGAAATATCTGGAGTGAAGAGGGTAAATGGAGCATTTAAAAAGAAAATACTAATTAAAAATATTCATTGAGCAATCAATCATTTCATAATGTGCTCATGGATGCATGTGGTCACATCCAGGCACTTCCAGTTCTGAAAGCCAACGTCACTGAGGATGTCTGAAATTAGGGATACTTGAGTTGCCACTACATCCTATTGCTCTTCATTCCTCTGCTAGCAGGGGCATTGGCTGTTCTTTCTCAAGCTGTGCCAAGCATTTCTCTCAAAATAAGCAGTTGTACTCTGCCTGAGAAGCTGAAACCAATTATTAAAGATTACTCATTTCTATAAAGCTTTGTTAATACTTTTTTAACAATGCAAAGTACTTGTAAAGCATTTAGGCCAGTGTTTTCCAAACAGGTCAGTGATTTTGGAGATTTTGAAGGCTTCTTCAGGCACTGGAAAGGTTAAAACCTAAAATTAGAAGCCTGCATGAAGGTTTTGGCATGCATCCACCAATGTTCATGTGTTTTTCTGGTGGTGTTGATTTGGATACCACTGCTGGGCACTTTACAGACACATTTCACTGAGGCACTGGGCCACCTAAATGGTCTGTGCATTCCTCCAGGTGAAGGTATTGGCTGTTTTGGGAAGTTTGTGCCACTGTGCTCCTGGAAACTTCCCTCTGCTGTGGGGAGTGTGGTAGCTCCTTACCGGATTTTCCTAAAATTGAGGAAAACCCAAAGGTGTTCAAGTGGCTCAGACACAGAGAAAGACCCCAAAAAAGTCCATGATTACTGCTCTTGAGCATCTATGCAAAACAGTCTGGGGAGGGAAGAGGTGAAGGTGAGCCACAGGAACCAGAGGGGGAGGCTGAGGAAGGGCAGGAAGGAGAGGACTGTGAGCACCACATCCCTCCCCTGATCACTGATCAGAGGGAAGAGAGCAGCATGTAACTTGGGCAGCATTAAAAACCCTGAATGCAACATGGGGACAGCATCACTGGATAAAAAAGAGGTTTTAGACATTTGAGTTGAGAGAAAGATGAGTACAGACTGACAACTAATAACCAACACAAGGAATATTACAAAGAGCTGTGCAACAAATGGAGCAGAGATGAAACAGATCTGTCAGTACAAGGAGGGAGAAAAGATCAGACATTTGTATGAAAAGTTTTAGTGGTCAGAAAGCTTAAAAAAAAAGTGCTGCTGAGTGACATCACTGCAGAGCCTGATGCAAGTGTGCACAAAATGTAATGTTGGAAGCCATTCAGCAGGATTACAATAGTGCTGAGCAAAGGGAAAAGTGACATTACTAGGAATTTGTGAGGAAAAGCAGAAGAGTGAGTTCAGTGACTATTGCAGAATCTGCTTTTCGAGTATGCCAGAAAAAGGCATTAAGGTGCAGTAAATGAAGGGAAGAAATGTATGGGAATAGCATTAAAAAAAAGGCTGGATGAAATGAAGATAAACGTACAGCAAAGTCTCTTCAGTGACAAGGGGACGATTCTCCCTCTCTACCCTGCTCTTGTGAGACCCCACCTGGAGTACTGAACACAGCATGAGAAGGATATGGAACAGCTGGAGGAAGTCCAGAGGAGGCCACCAAGTTAATAAGGGGACTCAGCTACCTTCCATGTAAGACAGGCTGAGAAAGTCAGGGCTGCTCAGCCCAGAGAAGAAAAGGTTGTGTGGAGAGGTCACGGCAACCTTCCAGTACCTGAATGGGCTACTGAGGAGCTCTTGGTCAGGAACTGTGGTGACAGGACAAGGAGCAATGGGTTCAAACTGAAAGAGAGGAAATTTAGCTTAGATATACAGAAGAAATTCTTTCCTGTGAGGTGGTTGAAGCACTGGAAGAGATTTCCCAGAGAAGCTGTGGCTGCCCCATCCCTGGCACTGTTCCAGGAGCCCTGAGCAACCTGATCAAGTGGAAAGTGTCCTGGCCCAGGGCAGGGGGGTTGGAATGAGTTGATCTTTAAGGTTCCTTCCAACACAAACCATTCTCTGATTCCATGATTCTATTATTCTGTGATAAAAGACATCTCACAGAAATACAGAGAACACACCAAAATTTTCTAAAATCCTTCCCATGGCTCTGGACTCCTTCAGTGTCCTTTCAGTGTCCCATGACTCTGGACTCTTTCAATGTCCTGTGGGTCACATTGACTTGAGCTGGTCTGCTGGGATAATCAGCAGGTACGCCCATTTAGGCTGGAAGGCATTTTTCCAGGACCAGTCCCTTTCAGCCTCTCCTCTTCCCATGCCCTGTTTGAAATGGCACCTGCACCAGGAAATGTCATCTGCAACAAGGGTTGCTGCACTGCTACTTGCATGGGAAGGGCCCTGACAAAAAATACTCCCCTCTTCTAGTTATTTTTGCCATTTTCAGTGCCTCCTGGCTGGCTCTGTAGATCCCCCTTTCCTTTGCACACTTATGCTGCACATGGTTGCCCTTTGCTGAGGCTGGCAGTGCTTCCCTGGGTGTCTGTGCTGCTGCAAGGCAGGAGGATGGGAAGGAATGGGGCATTCTCCAGAGCCCTGCATGCCCATGCCCAGCTGGGTGCTGTGCCCCTGCCTGCAGGCTCAGTGCTCACCCCTCAGCCAGAGGCTCTGGGATTACACTGGGTTACCTACAGCACACACAAAACATCAGTACCCTGTTTACACATCCAGCACTGCAATTAGGATTGCCTATCCCACCCTGGTCCTAGGCTAGCCCATGCTGCTCCTACCCCATGCACATCCCCTCTGTTCCCACTCATCCCAGTGATTCCCACTCATCTTCATACTTCACTGCTGTAAGCACCCCAAAACAAGGCCCCTGCCAGCAGTCCTCCTGTGCAGAAAGTATGT